GTTTCCTGAACAATTAAGGGAATTCACAAGACTATAACCTACTCAGGAAATGACAAATATTTCTGCTTTTTAAAGAAGGACTAAAAGGGCATTTTTATCTATAGCATCTGTTCCGTAGAAATCACTGTAAGTAATAGAGCAATTTTTATTATATTTTAAATTTATTTCAAGAGTGCTTTGCATGACAATTGTCAGAAAACAGAAAAATCTTAATATTGCTGTATTTGAACAGGCAAAATTTGTTACTAAAAGGTCTTTTTCAGAGTTCTCTTTTGTATCTATTGAGTTTGGATGGCACAGTATAATTTCCATTGCACCAAACTTTAGTTTCAAACGAGTCAGCAAAATGTCCTTTCAGTTACCTGGTCTAATTCTTCATAAATACACTTTGGAAGTGTATGCTCCATGCATCATCTTAACATCCTTTGGCCCTGATAACATTCTGTGTGATGCTCCCATTGGAAAATATCTGCTTTTTAATATCTGATTCAATAAGCTGTTGACAAATGATTTGTATAATATAGTATAGCCAGCGAGCCAGGTTTTCTGTCATTACACACCACAAATAGTCCGTCCACAAATGTTGCTGTGTTCCCCTTGTGTTAGAGTTCCTTGTGCCATTCTGAATAGCAATGCAAAGATCAATACACTGTCTTCTGAAAACAACAGGATATAACAAATGAATAATTTTATTTACAATAAAAGTCCCAGTCCCCAAATGGATTCCACTAATGTTCAAATTCATTTTTCATGTTCAATCCAAGATGAAAGGTAAACATGGCACAACACAAGGAGAGGGGAGAGTGAAAAGAAATATTAGGCATACTGGTTCGAATTTATTTAAGCCATGAACGATAGCAGGGCTTCACCAAGACATGTGAATAAAATGTTCACTGCAGAATTTGGATGCAGTCTCTAAAATGTGCCTGTTCTTTCACCAAGGCATTCTGCAAAAAACATTTTCCAGTAATAAGAAATTAATGGATTAAAGGCATTCTGACATATACTTCTAGAGTATTGCACTGCAGCAGGTGAAGCCTATTAAATTGGCTTTAAAATGCTGTTTGCAACGAACAGAATTGTTTGCTTTAGGTGGGGAGAAGGAGAGACTGAAGTGACTCTTTTGAGACTGAAGCAAACAATCTTGCTTCAAAAGCATATCTTTAGCCCCTGATCTGACAGTTCTTCGCCTTCTGTGAAAGGGGAAAAAAAATCAGCGAGCAAAATCATCAGAAAAAGAAGGTTGGCAGGGGGAGCAAAATGTTAGAGAGGAAACCAGTTCAAAGATGACATTTACAAGTCTTTTATGAATGGCACGCTCCCCAAAGGGTACCCAAATATAGTTATTTTAGAAAAAGAATTTATCAGAAACACAAAACACAGCATTTCATTTCTCATAAAGATGCTAATAAACTGCCTTGAAAACAAAGACTTGTCCATTGAGCAATCAACCCATGGTAGAAATGGCAAAGAATCTTTCCCATCTGCCATCAATTCATTCCACTGCTCTTAGATTTAGACTTAGTTCAGTATACCACTCACACAGAAACAGGATTGTAATTGACAAAGCATGGAGGGAAACTTGGGCAACTACAGCTTACAAATGACACTAAAAGTCTGGGATAAAATGATGACAAGACTTGGCTCTGTGTATGGAGATACTGAAATGCAGTATTTCAGCAGATATTTACTTGTCCCATCCCATTCACTGGAACCACCTATATGGTACCTGATGCTTATAGTTTCCATTTAAATTCAGGCAACATAGTGCTAATGGATGCTGAAAAGAAACAGATGCATGAAAGCAGGTGTTAGCCCCACCCCTTCCTAGAAGTAAATGACAGTGCAAGGGCAAACTGGAACACACATAATTCTGACACGAGTAAGACAGGGACAAGTGTTAGGCACGGTTCCTGGAACAGTAATAACTGTTATCAGTGATAACTGCTGAGAGAAAATGACATGAGAATAAACAACAAGTAACCAAAACAAATGTTGTTGTTGTTGTTAAGGGCCGTTGAGTCGGTTTCGACCCATAGCAACCCTGTACAGGGTTTCCGAGGGTGTAAATCTTTACGGGAGTAGAAAGCCTGATCTTTCTCCCGCGGAGCAGCTGGTAGTTTCGAACCACTGACCTTAAGGTTCGCAGCCTGATTCGTAACCACTACGCTACCAGAGCTACTTAACCAAAACAAATAGTATAGTTTTTTTTTTTTTCTTAAGTGGGCAGGACAGGTATCAATCAAACTTCAGTAGATATTAACAGGATGGGAAGGAACTCAAGGTGCATAGTGTGCTACGGGAAACCATAGTGAAGGGTAAATACAAGCAATGTTAAGAAGGATAGACTGAGCCAAGATAATAAACATCTTTTTAAAAACTGTACTAAAGATTTTGGAGTTTATCTTCAAGAAACATGGAAATTCATGAATGGTTTGTTAGCAAAGGAATGAGGATGGTGTGATGAGAAATCTGCTATGCAATGAGTTTGTAGGCTCCACTAGAGAATTCCAGAAGCAGGGAGCCAGAAAAAAGCAAGATGAACCACACCACTGGGTTAGACTAGGGCAGGCAGAATGGAAAGTGAGGTGGGGAGAGGCAAATTAAAACCCACTGCAGAGATCTCACTGTATATTTTATGAAACGTTAGTGGGCAGAGCTATTCACAGCTTCAATTCCCAAATCTCAGGACAAAAGAATATAGCTGTCTGCAGGTAAATGGATGCCTTATTAAAATTCATCTCACAGTTGTAACCTAACAGAGTTTACAAAGGGTAAAGTAAAATAAAAAGTTACAAAATCATCATATAAAAAGGATTGTCTGAATGCATTATCCACTGGCCCTGAGACCATTTTAAAAACCGGCTATGTGAAATAGCCTTAGAGATTATTCTGATTACAAAAACGTTCTGACTCGTGTTATTCTCATCCTCAGAGCAGGCTGGGTTCTTCGCCCTACCTTTCAACAAACTGAGGTTTGCTCATTCTAATAAAACATCTACTATGAGCATGACATTTACCCAACTATGTAATCTGACCAGGAATCACTGCATAAATGACAATTTCATCTGGTAAAAAAAAAAAATTTGTTATAGCTCATTAATTGCTCAGTCTTCAGGACAGATATTTCCCTAGAACCAGACGTTTTAATTTCTCTTGAGTTCAGACATAAAGATGCCACAAGTCTTACATATTACCCTTTAAGAGTTGGTTAAAAAGACCATAGAATATCAAGTTACTTATTATTATATGAGGGGGAAAATGACGAAGCAAAGTTCATTCCATTATTAGCCATCAGCAAGATGCACATCTCTAAAATCACACTTTGTCTCAATCTAAAATAATAAAATTTGCTCATTGAATTCACCTTTTAATCCCAAATTCTCTTAGTCCTTCAATGGAAATTAATTAAACTGGCACAGAAAGAGAGATGGCATTTAAACCGTATTCAATGACCTCTGATTTTCCAGATATTCTTTGCATAAAATATTCCTCACAGGAAAAAGACTACCTGCAAACTTACAGCAAAGCCAAATAAAAAGAAATATGCTTTAGTTAATCCCAAAAACTCAAGGTACTTTAGATGAACTCAATACAAAACAAGTGTACAATTCAAAATTTTCATGTTTCAAGACCAGTCAATAACATTCTAGATTTTTTTTCTTTATACTTAAATAAAAAATAGTGTTTTTTTTTAATACTGAGCACTCATTTTAGACTCAGCTTTAGTTTTATAAATTTTAAAAATGATTTTAAAACATTAGCAAGAAAATGTTCATATGAAATTATTTACAAATTTATTGCCAAGTGTACAAGCTTTATAAACTGACAGTTTTAATTAGCTAAATTGGATTCAAAGCTTTTGGGAGTCTCTCATACACTATCTTTTGCTATGTGTTTTTCTTATTTACACATTTTGTTTTTCAACATACAATAGCTACATAGCCAAGGATGAGGATTATTCAGAAAGTTCTCAAGCACTTTGAAAATTTTCACTGAAAAAACAAACTTTTTCTGAAAAAAAAAATTTTTTGGCATATATATACACATTCAGAATTACTGAGAAAATAATTTTATAGTGAAATGATGTCTCAGTGTGGAAAAATATTTATTATTTCAATACATGAAATTTTATATTTTGTTGCCTTCTGCATAGTAAATTAAGTTAGACGGAAAGGCAAAAAATCTGAAGAGTTAGTTCAAAATTTCTATGCACACAAATACAAGTGATAAATTCGATAACATAAAAACAACCCATTAGAACTTCTCACCAATTCTTGTTGTTTCTACGGCAAAAGAATAAAGCTCCTGAAGTTGGTCGAGGTAATAATACAATTTGGTGGTCAGAGTCCACTGTCAATGCCAAGTAACAACAATCTACAAATTGCACTCTTTTTCCAAAAGAAAATGCTATTTCAGGTTTTAACATGAAAAAAAAAAAATTATATATATATATATATATATATATACATATATACATATATGTATTCTTTTTTTATAACTGTATTTATGTGCATTAATTTAATTAAAATGCATACCCTGAATAATCTCTTTGAGGCAAATACACCATGTCAGTCTCAAATCATCACACAATTCCTAACATTCACATCACAAAGATGGCACCCAATTGATATCCCACTATTAAAATTCACAATAGACAAACTGAAAACAAAATGCCCATGATCTCCATTGGGCCCATTTTAGAAGCACCTATTTATTTACACAGCTACAGTAGTGAAAAGGTCAAGCAAAAATTTACCTCCAAAGCCATGGTTGCTAAGCAACTCTTTTCAGAAGTTCTGCAACACTGATCAAGCATATTACTGGTGCCACCAACTAGATTCAGAATAAATGTGAATAACAACTTACCTGGTCTCTCCAAAGCGGCGAGGAGGATTCCTTGTTTACTTTCCTGGACGGACCTGGGACCCACTGCTGTATTCATTTGGTCATCTAGGCTTGGAGATTTATTTTTTCTTAAACAAACAAGAAAAGGATACGTCCTGGTACCACAGGCTTCCTGTTCACAAGGGCAAAGGACAGTTCTGTCTTGAGAAACACCACAGAGGGCTTGATGAGATGTTGGCCAAATCTGAATGACATTTTCTTACGGGTGAAGTCTGAAAGAGAAGATAGTTTTAAAAACGGCCATTTATAAAATTTTAATAAGAAAATCAACTCAATGCCACTTGAAGGAAAGCAAATTCAATTACTATAGATTCTTAGGTATAAGAGGACACCCTTTACAGTTTTCCCATTTAATGCCCGTTATGATGTATACTGGTTAAATTCTCTTAATATAGGATGATCTTGCTGCATGTATATGTGGCCTTGACTGTAGTTTGTGTTTTCCAGAAGAAGTTTGCATATGGATAACAGAAGTCTCTCTTCATAAATCGCTGTACTTTCAGTTTACCTTACTCCAAATCCACGAGGTACTATTTGCCAAGTTAACTTTTATCTTTACCTTGTCATTTGATTATCTTTGCTACACTGAAAATTTCATTGCTAAGCATTGACTATTACCCTTTTAATTCATAATTGCTTTCCCAACTGGCTTTATCTTTTTGTTTATTGTCTTAATTATCTAGTGTTGCTACAATAGAAACACCACAAGATTTTAACAAACAGAAATTTATTCTCTCACATTCTAGGAAGCTACAAATCCAAATTCAGACTACTGGCTTTCGTAGAATATTTTCTCTCTTTGTGGGGTTCTAGGGAAAGGTCCTCACATACTTTCAGCATCTATAGCTCCAGCATTCCTTGGAGGAATTCATGTGTCTTTGTATTAATCTGCCACTGGATTCTAGAAGCTTCAAAGGACCTCACGTCCAATGGATGCACTCTATCCCAGCTATTATTTCTTAGTAATAGTAGGTTCTTCTTCTCTGCTCACATCTCTTCTTCTATCTCTTTATATAATGTGAAGCACTGGTGGTGCTGTTGTAAGTGTTGAGCTGCTAACCACAAGGTTGGAAGTTCAAAACCACCAGCTACTCTTCAGAAGAAAGAAGAGACTGCTTGCCTCCATAAAGAATTACAGGCTCAGAAACCTTATATTAGGTCACAAGGGGTCAGAATTGACTAGGTAGCAGTCAATTCTGCCATCTAGGCTGGTTATAAGATAAATGGTGTTGCATGCCACACTCCTAGGAAATCCCTTACATTGGATTAGTATTGTGATGGGATCAAGTGTAGTGTATTTAATCCTCTTATTGGTTTATCACAGTACATCAAATTATTAGGGATCATCACATAACCATAATATCACATTATCACATAACTACAAAACCACTGAGGATCTTGGCTAAGCCAAGCTGATGCATATTTTTGGAGGACAAATTCAATCTATATTTATAGAAGAGTGATTTATAAATAAAAAAATTGCAATCACTGTTTGACCTCTTCACATATGGGAAAAACACTGTATGATGCAGAAAGCATCAAATGCAGAAAGAAGTAATACACAGAGTCACTGTACCAAAAAGAAACGCTCGATGTGCAACCATTTCAAGAAGTAGCATATGAACAAGAGCCAATGGTACTAAAGGAAGATGTCCAATGTGCACTGAAGGCATTGGAAAACAACAAGGCTCTGGGAATTGATGGAATATAAGTAGAAATATTTCACAAAAAACATGATGCAGCACTGGAGGTACTCACTCTTCTATGCCGAGAAATTTGGAAGGCAGCTACCTGGCCAACTGACTGGAAGAGACCCATATTCGTGCCCATTTCAAAGAGAAGTGACCCAACAGACTGCAGAAGTCATCAGGCAATATCATTAATATCGTGTGCAAGTAACATTTTACTAAAGATAAATTTTAAATGCCTGCAATTATACATTGACAGAGAATTGCCAGGGGTTCAAGTCTTTTGATTGTGTGGATCATGACAAGCTAGGGACAACATTGCAGACAATGAGTATTCTGGAACACTTAATTGTGCTCATGAGAAAAATGTACACAGACCAAGAGGGAGCTGTTCGAACAGAACATGGGAACACTGAATGGTTTAAAATTAGGAAAGTTATGTGACAGGGTTGTATTCTTTCACCATACTTAGCCTTCAGTCTGTATGCTGGGCATTTAATCTGAGAATCTGTATTATATAAAGTACATGTCATCAGGATTGGAGGAAGACTCATTAACAACCTGCGCCATGCAGATGATACAACTTTTCTTGCTAAGAGTGAAGAAGACTTAAAATGCTGATGAAGATCAAAGACCACAGCCTTCAGTATGGGTTTCATCTCAATGTAAAGGAGACAAATAACCTCACCATTGGACCAATCACAAACATTCATATAAATGGAGAAAAGACTGAAGTTGTCAAAGACTTCATTTTGCTTGAATCAAGCATCAATACTCACGAAAGCAGCAATCAAGAAATCAAATGACGTATTGCATTAGGCAAATCTGCTGCGCAAGACTTTTTTAAAAATGCTCAAGAGCAAAGATGTTAGCTTAAGGACTAAGATGCACCTGACCCAGGACATGGTATTTTCAATAACTGCATATGCGTGTGAAAGTTGGGCAGTGAATAAGGAAGACCATAGAAGAATTGATATATTTGACTTAAGGTTCTGGAGGAGAATATTGAAAGTTCCATGGACTGCCAAAAGAACAAACAAATCTGCGTTGGAAGAAGTACAGCCAAAATGTTCCTTGGCAGCCAGGATGGCCAGACTTTGTCTCTCACACTTTGGACATATTATCAATGGGGACCAGTCCCAGGAGAAGGATCTCATGTTTGGTCAATGGACCGTCAGAGAAAAGGAGGAAGACCTTCATTGAGATGGACTGGCACAGTGACAGCAGCCAACTGGCTCAAACATAGCAACAACTGTGAGGTTGGCGCAGGACTGAGCAGTGTTTTGTTCTGTTTTGCATAGGGTGGTTATGAGTCAGTCCCAACTCAACAACACCAAACAACAACAGGAACTATTATAGTAAAACTTCCAAAATCAAAGATAAAATAAATGAGATAAAGAAGACAGAAGCAAAATACACTAATAAAAGAGCAACGAATCAGAATGCAGTAAAGTATGTGAAGTGTTACCCACATGACTTTCTGGGGAAAATCAAAGACGGGGTTGAAGTAGGATATGAGAGTTGGCATCTAGGGTGAGCCAAATCCCTTCAGTATCCACATCACAAGTTATATTTTTCCATAAATCAGACATCTATATGTGACAGAGTTGTTTTATGAATGACTGAGAGTCACCCTCCCTGGGAGACCATTTCATTTTTCTAATTCAGGAAACACCTTACTACAGAACTGATGAAGAAAGATTAATTCATAGAAAAAGAAAAACAGGATTACAAAAATGATCAACTCAGAGAATGGTTGGCCATTTAAAAAAGCAAAACTGCCATACAAAATCTGCGTAATCATTCAATGATTCATATATTATCAATATGACTGACACACATACACACACACAACCACAGAGGGTTGTACAAATGTCCTCTACTATAGAAGTACCACAGAGCCAGAACTTTACTCATAACAAAAGAAATAAAATGTAGGATTAAACCACAACAACAACAAAAAAAAACATTTACAACTATCTTATAAAAACACTGGGCCAATAAAATGTCAAAGGAGCATCCACCATATTGGTTCTTACACTGGTGAGATGTTGGTCCCTGGATCTGCAACATCCTCATCATTTGGAAACTTGTCATCAATGCAAATATTCAGACCCTACCACAGACTTACTGAACCAGAAACTCTGGAGGAAGAGCCCAGCAATCTGTAGTTTACAATAAGCAGTCCAGGGGACTCAGGGCCACTAGTCTAATTGAATTATCCTCCCAGTTCTCGGGTCCTTCCCTAGAGAATCCCTGCCAAGTAGCTGACTAGCGCATATTTGAACATGCCCAGCAATGGTAAGTGCAAAGTCCATCCATTCCTCCAAAGAGAGTCAATTCCATTAATTACACAGGTTTTCTTCCTATCAAGTCCATTTATATGGCATGGATTTATTCCTCAAGACCCTATAAAAGTGCCAGGAAAATGGCAACTCTTCAGACATTTGGAAGTAATCATTTTTTTATTTTCCCTAGTTTTTCCAGATAAACATAGAATAGCATTTCAATCTTTCTGCAAACAGCATTGATTTAAGTCACCAGCAGTTGTGGCTTGGCGTTCCCAGCATGTATTCTCTGTAATTCTGCCATAACACCTCTATTCTTCTTTGGGCAATTAATTATGCCACGATATGCTATATGTGAGACTACTCCTATTGCCTGATACTAAGGATGTGAAGTCCGCTGCCAGACGACATGATTCAGGATTGGGTACTAGAACACAAAATGAGCAAATCAAATCAAGGGTATTAGACAGAGAATTATTGTGAATTCTAAGGTGGCTCCATAGGATAACACTGAACTGCGAACCACAAGGTCAGTGATTTCAGTCTACCAATAGCACGGTGGGAAAAACATACAACTTTTCTGTTCCCACAAAGATTTAAAGCCTTGGAAACCCTATATTGAGTTGCTTTAAGTCCGAACTGAACTACCTCCACAGCACTTAATAACAACAACATGGGGTAAAGACTTGTTTTTTTGTTTTTGTTTTTTTCTTGTGAGGTTACCAAGCTGATAGGACAAGAACCTGGAACAACTAGATATTGCACTAACACGAGTCTGTAAGATATTATATTAACAGTGAGATGAGTATACCCCAAACACAGAGAGACTCATACCTGATGAGTTTATTTAAGTTCCTGGATCACACAATGCTAGGAGGTAGCCATACCTGGAGTTTGGTTTCTCTAAAGGAGAACTGTACAGAACTGTCAGAAGCAGAAGCTCTAGTTTATGGGCTCCTATTATCACTGCCAAGGAGCTCTGGTAACGTAGTGGTTACAAATCGGGCTGTGAACCATAAGGTCAGTAGTTCGAAACTACCAGCCGCTCAGTGGGAGAAAGGTAACTTGGCTTTCTGCTCCCATAAAGATTTACAGCCTCAGAAACCCTGTACAGGGTCGCTTTGGGTTGGAACTGACTCCACGGCACTTAACAACAACAACAACATTATCACTGCCATGAAATGTCCTTCTTTCGGTTTTCCATTTCCTTTTCATTACC